AGTTTTAATGTATCAGAAAGCTCATAGGGTGGAATTTTATTTTTTCATGCTTCATGTCTTTATTGAAGACATTGTACATGCTAGGCACTGTGACACGCACTGAGTGTTCTGTAGGACAGCATGGTAGCTGGGGAGACCTAGATGACACATCAAGACACAGATGGTAATTGGCAATCATCTACAACACTTTGCTGGAACAGACTTCTCTACAGTGACCTGGAACTCTCTCCCCATCCAACATACAGACTATGTGAAGTCACAGATGTGATTATTCCAGAGAGAATAAAATCATGTCATCGAGAGATTAGTTGGGGGCATGGCTGAGGAGGAGCACAAACAGGAGTGTGACCGGTCTCTTGGAGGAGAAGGCATTTGAGAAAAACCAGCTTAAAGGAATGTGAGGGTCAAAGAGCTGCAGGCATAAGGGAACAAGAGTGAGACCCTGTGATCAAGGGGTAAAGAGGCAGGGAGGCAGACTCTGAGAAAGCAGACCTGATACAGAGGAATCAGGACCCTGACAGAGCCTGGATTTTTGGAGCATAACAGAGGGATTGAAGCAGAGGAGTGAAGCAATCTTGGACATGGGGAATTGACTGTGGTGGGGGCAGAGTAGAACCAGGGAAGAGAGTAAACACCTTGCTGGAGGTGATGGGGACTTGCAGGAGTGGGGCTGGCTGATGCTTGGATTCAGTATACTTTTAGAGGAGGAGGAAAGCGAGATGAGATGGTGAGCGCTGGGGTGAGATCATGGAAGGTATTGAATTGCTAAGTGTGGGCATATCCAATAGACAGTGGTGCTCTATGGCCACACTCTTCTCATGTGATGATTAGTCTATCAGCAGCAGAAAAACAGTAGTTCACGTCCTGAATAAGAAGGGTCTGAACCAAGAAGTGGGCCTGAGCATGGAGAAGAAATGGACACTAGAGATTTTTAGGTGACAAAACCCCAGGCTCAGCAAGTAACGATTTATCAAGAAAGCCAAAAGTGGCTTGGAAGTTTCAGGCTCAGAGATAGTGTCTATCCGTTTCAAGATGGTGGTGGGGGTATCCAACTAGAATTAGGAAATAAGAAGTCAGACTGGAGCAGCTTCCAAAGTTGGCCCATTGAGTCCAGTATCTGGGCCAGAAATTCCAGGAGGTTGCTCAGCAGACAGTTATAAATGTGAGCCTGGGTCGTGGAGGGAGACTTGGGTTTAAGAGTAGTCTGCACATGAGAATGATTGCTAAGTCTGAGATAGGGAAATTAGAAAGAAAGCCAAAGAGGAGCAGGAGGGTAGGAGCATACTCAGGGAGCTGTCTGGGCTCAAACAATCAAGAAGTAAGAGGAGGGAGGAGGACTAGTTTAGGAATTGGAAGAAAATCAGACAAGAGCCACCTCAGATGGCCATCCCTCCTTGGTCTCTGGACATATTTAGGCAAAAGCTTTGATACATCTGCTACTTTCCATGTTGCTGTCGCCCTGTTTTACAATCTTTATCCCCCAGGTTAAGCACATAGTAGATGTGTAGTGACTTTTGGGATGAATTTATATATAGTCAGCCCTTCATATGGGTAGTTCTGTACCTGCAGATTCAACCAACCTTAGATGGAAAATATTCAGAAAAATAATATTATCTGTAATGAACATGTATAGATTTTTTTTGTCATTATCCCCTTAAAAGTAGAGTATAACAACTTTTTGTGTAGCATTTATATTAGGTATTAGTTGTATTCTAGATATGATTTAAAGCATAGGGGAGGATGTGTGTAGGTTCTATGCAAAAAAATTTGTATAAGAGACTTGAGCTTCTCCAGATTTGGATATGTTTGGAGGGAACTTGGAGCCAATCCTTGGTAAAGGTGGGGGGACAAGTGAGTATAACTGAGGGCGGTATGGGTTTTACACATTCAGCTGCTAGATATGATCATAGAAAGTTGTTTTTCACTGGTGATCTTCAGTAGGGGAACAATTCTGGGGGTGGGTCCAGGACTCACATCCCTGATGACTGATACTTCTCAATTCTGGGAAAAATGACCACACTGCCCATGACCCATACTGTGGCCTTCTCCAGCACACAGGGCTAAGAACTAGAGTTTTTCTAACTGTATTTTGCATGCTTTACTGGAACTGTCTTGATCAAAAAGACCTGTGCCTTCCTCACCAGCTCTATTCCATCCTCTCTCCTTTATTAATTATGCCATGGGACACTGTTGTCCCCTCAGACCCCTTGGTAACACACGCACCCTGATTTAGTCAGCAGAACAGGGCCCTGACTAGCAAATGCTGGCCAGGAACTTGAAAGCTCAGAAGTGGGTAATGGAAATTCCTCTCTTGCAAATGTAGAAAAGTAACTAAGGATCCCCAGGGTAACATGGGAAGATTTTAGAGAGTTTATCACTTGGAGTTTCCTTGGGTTTGATCACCTTTTTCTCTTGGATCACCAAAGCTCATAAATGCAATCATTAAAACCCCCTAATGACTTATTTTGTGTTTTATGTAGCTTCAATTAAAAAAAAAAATCTCGATGCCTGCCCAAAATAGTATACGTCCCTTTCACAGACTATAGCAAGTGGATAAAATGCCCCATGGGCAGAATAGAGTAGTTTGTTTGTTGCCCTTCAGACCTCAAATTTGCTACTGTTCGGACAGGGACATCCCCGTATACCCTTTCTTTAGGTGCAAAAGGTGCTCAGGGAACACCAAGAAGCGCATAGATCTGTACCAGCCTCCAAGTAACCTGCAGAATTAACTCAAGGGGCAACCTGGTACGCATTTTTGTTTGAACCTGATCTGAAAAGCCCTCTTCGCTGGTGCTGGGAGAAGCTGTCTGGACCTGTGGGATTATTTACTTTGACCATCTTGAAAGTGTTTAATCAAGAAGTCCTATATGATGCAGGACAAGAAGTCTGGTGTGAGGTCAGAGACTCGCTGTGACAGCAGGGATGTGGTTAGACATAACAGGAAGGCAGAATAGGAAAGATCTAGAGCTGTGAGCACCTGAGAGAGATGGGGAAGCTAAGAGGGAGCATGTCTAGGGGACACAAAGAGGCCAGGGTGACGGGCCAGTTCTTGTGCTGTTGGCCCTGTGGCTGTACCACAGGCAGACTGGAGACTGACAGTGGGGCTCTGAAGTACCACACAAAGCAGAACACACGTGGTCCCCGGGGCATTTGCTGAACGTTCTGCTCTGAGCAAAAAATTATTTTATCTTGGCTGATCTGTGTTCTTAACCTCTGTAGTTTTATACTGAACAACTTCTCAGCAACCAGCTGGCAGGCAAATAAGAATCCAGGCAGCCCCTGCAATGCACTCCAGGCCAGGAGTCCTATCACAGCCAGCTTCCTCCAGGTCACTGCCCCTGGGTGTTGCTGTTGATAGCCAGCTTGCATCTGTGTCTTCGTGTGTCCCCTAACTCTCCCCAGCTGCCATGAAATCTAGTCTTCTGCATTTGCTCCCTACCTGGCCTCAGGCCACTAACGCCTCCTTTATCTGTTTTTGTACCATGAATGATTTTGATCTGTTTTTTTTTTTTCAAAATTCAGTTTTTTTAATAGTCATTTTGGATTAAATTTGCTCAGCTATCAGCATATCTTAAATTCTCTACTAAAACACATCCAGTTATCCTATTATTTTTAGACATATAATAGTCACAATTCTTTCCCCAAGAAATTCACGTACCCAAGAACTATTAAATATGAAGACCATTTATCTGACCCTTTGAATAGCAAACCCTAGTAGGATTGTAGGGTGGTCCAAGACCAGCATTGTCAGTGGCACCTGAGAACTTGTACCAATTGCAAAGTCTCAGGCTCTCCCGGAAGCTCTAGGGATGGGATGTAGCAGTCTGAGTTTTAACTGCCCTTCGGATGATTTTGATGCACACTTAAGTCGGAGAACTGCTACCATGAAGAAGCAGAAGATTCTGGTTCCTCTGGAAGCAGTGGGTCAGGTTCCTTGGCCCCCAGGGAGATGCTGTACAGCCAGCTCTGCTCCAAGCCCTGTCCTGCATATGGGAGCGGTGTGTGAGGAGGGGAACAAATGCCTTGTTCCCTTTCAGGCATCTCTGGAAAGAGCTAAATCGCCTCCACCTGCATTATCTCCAACCCTGGTTTCCTTTATGGTCTAAAGCACCAAACCCTAAGCTGAGTGCAGATGTTTTTGTTCTGAAAGTATTCACTTTAACAGAAAAAAAAGTAAAGAGGAGTATTTAAGCAATTTAGTGAATAAACACCCATGTTAATCTAAATAAATGTAGGTCATTTTGCATAATGCAAAATTCCCATGTGTGCTTATGTGTTTAAAGAAAATATAACATTGAAAGCCATTTTCTACTTGTGATGAAACTTGGGCTGTGCTTCCCAGACCCACCAAAGGTAGAGGTCACCCTGCCTCTGTTCTCAGAAATAATTTGAGAAGGGTTGGGACATGGGGGCATTTTGCAAACTAGATCTCCCTAACTGCTACTGATAAAGGGCGACCCATACCCCGCCCTACCTGAGTGAGCTCTGGGCCTCCCTAACTCTGCAGCAACATCTGCATGATTCCTGCAGTGTGTTGGCTACTCCAGTCAAGATACAGGTGACCCCTGCCACGGCAAAGGAACATACCTTGTAAAATTGTGGCCACACCTAGTGATATGTGGGCTCCAGCCCTACATATCTCCCAGAGTCTCTGCCTCATGCAGCACAGTCTTGGGACTGGTGCTTTAGGACTTAATGTGACTCCATGGGCATTTTGCCTTCCCATCCCATCTCCTCCATAACACATACCAAAAAATGTATTTGATAACTATAACTAGCACTTGGGTATAGAGATAAATATAATCCAGGCTGGATTCTATTCATTATTTTCTCTTCTGAATTTAAAAGGAGTTAAAATATTTTTTGAGGTCTCTGAAAGTATTGGGGACCTCAGGCAGTATGCTTGCTGGGCCTCATTTAGAACTCAGCCTCACAGAGCATCTACTTTAAAACCCCTCTGAATCTTAACTGCAAAATAACCTGGCCCTCTGGTTCTCTAGAAAATCGGTTGTGATGGCATCATCGGGTCTGCAGCCAAAGAGGACAGGTGTGGTGTCTGCAATGGGGATGGCAAGACCTGTCGCGTGGTAAAGGGTGACTTCAGCCACTCTCGGGGGACAGGTAAGTGCCAGGCTGAGGGCTGCCATGGGTACAGGACAACCAACACATGATGTGTATTTTGTCTTATTTGCTCAAAACTAAAGGTTTCAAAATGACCCACATTTCATATCTATTTGTAATGATAACTTACAGAGGAATGGACACTTCTGTTTGGTTTCTGAAAGGCAATATTTTTGCAAAAATTCTGTCTTTTTAAGCTTCTAAGAGTGAGTCATTTGCCCATGGAAGGGCACAGCTTCTAGCACTCAGTGGTACAGCCCCAAGGTCCATGAATCAATCTTCAGATGTACACACAGTGAAGGGGCAAAGACACTTTGTCACAATATTCTTGTTTTTTTTTTACACAACACCTTGATCTTATTTGTTTATTTTTATTTGGTGCAGGGGATCGAACCCAGTGCCTCAAGCATGCTAGGCAAGAGCTCTACCACTGAGCCACAACACTGGCCCCATATCATTTTTACCTATTGATGGAAGAACTTTTCTCTGTTCCTGAATTTTCTGTTTGTAAAAATATGATAGCATTTAAATGAATGTTTAAAATGTACATGAGCCATATGATACAGAGAGTCTCAGATGTCTCTGCCAACTATGACCCCAAAGCAACCAAACCTCTTGGTTCCTAATCCTAGATGTTCCCCTAGCAGCATCCACAGGGAAACACAGCAGCACTCAGTTGATGAGACATTTTTAGGGTATCAGGGATTGAACTCAGGGGCACTTGACCACTGAACCACATCCCAGCCCTATTTTGTATTTTATTTAGAAACAGGGTCTCACTGAGTTGTTAAGTGCCTTGCTTTTGCTGAGGCTGGCTTTGAACTTGCGATCCTTCTGCCTCAGCCTCCTGAGCTGCTGGGATTATAGGCGTGCATTACCATGCCTGGCTGATGAGATTTCTTAATCTTTTTATGTACACTATCATTTTTGCAAATACAGGCTGCTTTTTCCAGAATCGGGAGGTGGTTTTTCTGATCTGCCCTAGAGGACACTTGTTTATGATGTCCAGGGAGCATCTGAGGAAGAGAGCACAGGGCAGGCAAACCATCTAGAAGACAACTTCTCAAAGCCTTAGTTGAATGTCCACTCACTAACATCACCAAGAGAACTTTAGAACTGAGTTAAAACACTTGTATTTTAATTTCTACAGCTGTCTTTGCCTAGAAGCCTTTTGGTTCAGTTCTACTCAACAAGAGAACAAAACCACAGTTTTACCTCCGTGTCCCACAGAACAGCCCATGGGACAAGGCGGAAAAGAGAGACCTTATGTATGTATCCCTTATGTGGATAGAAAACCAGGTCTACAGAAATGCTCTTTCTAGATACTCATGGAAACGACAACCCATTGTATGAACATTTTGCAGGATCTTGTGAAAGCAGGATACAGAGGTAAAAGCAAATGGAAACAAATTTAAAAATGAAATTTCAGACCCAAAAGACTGATTTCAGGATTTTTAAGGACAGGCACCGAGTCATCAAAGCTTTTGTGAGAATCTATGCCTGTCCCATGTTTCCTAGAGGAAAAGGAAGAAGGTGATGCTGGAACAAATTGATTTGGGGGAAGTGACCTTTGGAGCTGTGCCATTCAGTGCAGGAGGCACTGGTCACTTGGGTCTATTAAAATTTAAATTATAATAAAATTAAACTAACTTAAAAATTCTCTTCCAGTCCCACTGGCCACATTTTAAGTGCTTCATTCCTCATGTTCTAGTGTCTCTTATGCAGATAGTGAACATTTCCATAATTGCAGTAGATTCTCTTGAACAGCTCAGCTCTAGAAATTTGATGATTTCTGCTATTTATTTGGATATATTTGACGTCATTTTCTCTCTTCATAACTTGGTTACCAGCTTCCCCCGTGGCTTTTGACATTTCCTATTACAACTGTAATAGAGGAACCAAACCTCTGCAGTTGGTGAGGGATTACTAGTTTACTTTGGGTTTATTTATTTTTTAACAGAACAGAAGCACTAGAACCCTTTATTTGAATTAAACATTGTGCTGAGCTCTAAAAAAACAGAACTGACTGAAATCATGCCATTCCATGACAGGCAGATCCAGCATAAGCCATGCCCACCCCTCCCTCCCCCCAGGCAATTCAATAGAACACTAAGGAAGATTCCACAGCATATCTATGCAACATAGCAGTTCACTTATCAGACAACCCAGATTAGGAGTGTCTCAGTCAGTTTTTCCGTTACTGTGACCAAAAGACCTGCAAGAGCAAGTTAGAAGAGGAAAAGTTTATTTGGACTCATGGTTCTAGAGGTTCAGTCTATGGCCAGCCAACTCCATAGCTCTGCCCAAGATGAAGTAGAATATCATGGTAGAAGGGCACAGCAAAGGGAAGCTACTCGGGTCATAATAGCCACAAAGCAGAGAGAGGCCTCTGCTCACTTGGGCCAAAATATAAATCACAAAGGCATTCCCCTAGTGACCTACTTCCTCCAGCCATACCCTACCTGCCTGCAGTTACCACCCCAGTGGATTAATCCCACTGATTAGTTTACAACTCTCATAACCTAACCATTTCATCTCTGAATATTCTTGCATTGTCTCACACATGGGCTTTTGAGGGACACCTCATGTCTAAATCATAACAAGGGGCAAAAGTGTTCTCTCTATTCCTAAATTCTAATCTGTTTTCTGTCCTTTGGTTTTGACCTGGTCAGATCATTCATCCACAAAAATGTCCTCTTCGTTTGCTCTCCTCTTTCTCTGTCCACCCTATGCTGGACCCCATCCCTGTGTGGAATGTGCAGCCTCCCACCTGATGAGGTCAGGTCTCTGTAACCATGGCAACAGGTCTCCCATGGAAGGACAGATCGCCTGGGAAGCTCCCCTGGGGTCATTGTCCCCACCTTTGTAGCTTATTGTGCTGCTTTCTAGCTGCTGAGGCAAAAAGTCTTAGCAACTCTTCTGAGAAAGGTAAGCACAGGTTAGCTCACCCACCTGTACATGTTCTGACAGTTTGAGTGGTTGCTAAATGTTGTACATTCATTAAAAGCCCCCCAAACTGGTTTTTCTAAATTCTCACCATTAGAGTCTGGGAGCCTAAGCTCACATCAGTATTGATTCTGTTTATTGAAAGATCTGTGTGCAATACCCTTTTGCACATGAATGAATCACTGTCTAATGTAGTTTTAACTAAAAACAAACCCAATATCAGGGTCTGAAGCTCCTAATGCACATATACAGAGATACTGTCAAAGGGTCACCCACAAGTCTGTTCTCCTAGCTAACATCTTAAGCACTAGGTACACAGAAATGAAAGTTAACTATCACCATGTCGGTCACAAACAAGGTAAAGAACAGCTTGAGTCTGTGTAAGCATGAGGTAGGGACAACTCATCAGGGGTGCTGTGGGGCCCCCAAATTCTGGCAGGGCACCTCTCCCAGGCCTGCAGACAGATGAGAGTGACCTCAAGCCCTAAAGGACAGGTAGAGAGCGGGAAAAAGACATTTCAGGTTGAAGTAAAATTACATATTCTTAGGAGACGGAACACAGAGACCCTATAAAGTCCCCAGGTCGTTTAACATCTTAGTGACTCCAGCTGAGTGGATGCATTAATCGTGTCAGTGTAGATAGGAAGGTAACTTTCATCTCTGCCCAGCTCCAAGGAATGAGGAAAGGAGGAACATCTTATCATTTTTCAGGGTGAATATCAAAGAGAAATACCATACCAGAGAGATAAAACAAGAATCAAAGGCAGGATTTTTGCCCAGTTATATGAAGTCCTGACCCCTGCCTGAACTCCCCTGTGTCCTCTTACCCAAGTTCTCAAGCTGAGAATCGAGGGAGGACTCACCCAGGGAGAGTGTCACAGCCCCATATAAGCAGAAAGCCCTGGGTTTCCAGCTTTGTGTCATCCAGGCTCTCAGTGCCGTGTCTGAGAAGCAGTGTTGGGATTTCCAGGTGATTGCTGCTCTCCAGCCCATTTCTCCCAACCCTGAGCAGAAGAGGTCCTTGGCTAATCATCTGCAGAAAGAATCAACTCAAATTGGCTTTCTGATAGATGGGCTTCAAAATGCTCAGGCCTTTAGTGGTGCTGAAATAGCTGGGCTATTTAAACTTAGTAAGTTGAAGGAGTGAGATGTTTTCCCTTTGTTCCTTGTCATTTTGACGTGATTGTCTTTATTCTGTTGTGCTCCTTGGCATTAAAAAGGTTACTGGTGCTGGTGTGGACAGCCAGGATGTACCTGGACCCTGGCCCCACTGAGAACCAACCAGGATGCCCTGTGGACTCTGAACCTCTTTGTGCTCTGTTAGGAAAAAGATGATCTCAAATAGTAGATTCCTAAAAGAGAGGGTGGTGTGATCCATCCCTTTTGGGTGTGGCTAGATCATATGTTGCCTGTTTATTCAGTAACTAGCTTTAGAGCCCTGCCATGTGCTAGCTTCTGTGCTCCATCCACAGGTGTGGGGTGTGAAAGTTCCTAGGGGAAATCTCATGGTTAAAAATATGACAAGGACACATAAAGAGGTCTCTTTCCACTGTGGTTGAGAATGACAAGATCAGTTTCAAAAATGTACACATAAGCCAATTGCAACCTATTTCTTCTTCTCAGTCAAGAACCATCTTTGTAAGAAGATGTCCACGTGTGTGATGGCAAAGGCGGTTCCCAAGTGTTTCTCATGTAAGATGCTTGGTTGTTACGTGTGGTCCTGTTGGTAAAATGCTTGGTGTGGGTCTCTCACTTCACTTACATACCTGAATGTTTTCTGGATGCAACCAATGGCAATGAGTCATGCATGAAGCCATGGATAAACACAAAGGCCATTAACTGCTTACATATAACTGATGTTCAAGACCGATTGCCAAAAAGAAAAACTATAAAGTAAAATCAATTTAAAGATTAATAAAAAAAAATAGAGTCACAGAATCAAGATGCTGGACAGAAATAGGCCCTAGTATGCCAAGAATAGGTTTTTGTTCTCCTCGACCACACCTCGCACTTTGGCAGAAGATGCTAAAATAGCCTAGAGAATTTAGCCTCAGTTGGCACCTTTCTGCCCGGGGAAGTTTCCATTATCACAGTATTTTCCTGTTGGCAGAGGGACCCTGGGTAATACCTTCCTGACTTTCATGCTAGAAGTGGAGGCAGTGGCCTTGATTTGACCTATCTACATTGACCTCGAATTCTGAGTGGCGAACTAAATAAAACACAATCTAGCCTCCCGTGATTCTTGAATAAAGGCATCTTTTTAATTAGATCCAACATGTACCTTTAGTGATAGGAATACAGATAGTCCCCAACTTATGGTGGTTCAGCCCCTGATTTTTCAGCTTCATAGTGATGGGAAAGCAGCATGAATTCAGTAGAAACCATACTTTTTTGAATTTTGATCTTTTCCTAGGCTGGCAGTGTGTGGTCTGATTCCCTTCAATGAAGCTGGGCAGTGGCAGTGGGCCACAGCTTCCAATCAGCCACGAGGTCCTACCCAGAAATGACCAGCACCATATAGTGTGCTGTGGGCTGAGCTGCAGGGTTCTGTAGGCTAGGTGTATTTGATGCATTTTTGACTTAATATATTTTCAATTTATTTTATGATGAGTTAATCAGGACATGACCCCCTCCTAAGTCCAGGTGCACTTATATTTTCATTAACAACTTTTGTAAAAAGAGGAAAATATAAACTTAAACAAAAGCCTTTCTGAATATCTTCTGACCTATTTACAGAAAGAGAAAAACTTTTTTTCCCATATATTTGATAGAAGCAGGGGAAAGAATCCCAATACACATAGCCAGGGTTTCCCCTCTACTCAGTCATAATACCTTATCAGCTCAACGATTTTCTTCCAAATATGGTTAACACTGTTGGAAAAAAAGCAAGGAAAAATATGATCCCAAATCATCTGAAAGCATATCTACTTGGAAAATTCAGGTAAAAATGATTTTATGGGGAGATATGCTCCTCGCTTGGTAATATTAATTGTTCAGTAGATTTGAGACAAGTTAAAGGTCAACACAACTTAACAGGCCCTAACCACAGAAGTGGCATATTCTGCTATATTCTCCTAGGAGAATGGCAAAGGCACAGAGTTTTACCCATGGCTTCTTCATGAAACCAAATAATGGCCTTTACCTGGAGTTCTCCTGCTTGGTGGCTGAGACCAGAATGGAAAATGACTCCAAGATGAAGTCTTGCTCCATCGCCTAAGATGTAAATCTGCCTTCTAAATTCTTGGAATAAATCCTCCCTTTCAGTTTTGCTTCATGCATGGTCAGTGTGGTGGTATCTGGCATCTACATCATGGGACTTCAAACCTGAGGATTTGGTGATGGGACTCTCTTTTTTCCTGTTTCTCTTTATACCTGTTTACCAAACCCCATGTGGATTTTGAAATCTGAGAGAGTAAGGGCTAGAGGTCCATGAGGTAGAGGCAGCTTTTTGCTTAAGGACAGAAAATCTGCCTTATTTCAGGGACTTTCTCTTTAATGGGTTCCCACTATGTTGAGAACTCATCATAGAAAGCAAGGTTAGCAGAGCCCATGTTCAGCCATGACTGCCCGACCCTGAGAGGTCACCCAAGGATGAGCCTCACTTGGGTTGTGAGTCTGCCCTGAAATTTCTACTGTGCATCAGCATCTCCATCCGAGGCACTTGTGAAGACAGAAATCAGATGCCATTTCAATGTTACAACTCGTGCCAAAGGTAAATATGACCAGGTGCAAATGTACCTTGCTCTGGAATGTGGGAAATTAATTAATCAGTATCTCAGTAGACCTTCACCTATTGGATAGCAGATATTAAGAAGATTGATCATTTCAAGTGCAGTTGCACACTGATGATGCTAACACCAAGCCTTGTTAGTCATAAAATAGGAAGGAGATTCCGCACAACATCAGCTTCCTTCAGAGAATAATTCAGCTCCACAGATAGTGTCACAAGTCTGTTTTGTGGTTTTGTTGGAAAATTCTCTGAAAAAGGTTTTAACCATTTTGATCCTCTGTTCTTGACACTTATATGCCTGGAATCTAGTAATTCTTCCAGTTCCACAAAGCAACTGATTTCTCTAAGAGATGTTTGTGGTATAAAATACAGTGGTATCATCTAAAAAGCTGCCTTTAGGGTTTTGGGTTTTGTTTTTGTTGGGGGATGGGGTTTGTGGCCAATTTTTTCAAGGAAATCATTCCTAGAGCAAAATCAACTTTTAATCAAAAAACCCTTGTCTTTACCCTATTATAGTGACTCAGTGGCACAGGGAGTGCAGGCCACTTGGTCAGATCAGTGTTGTCATTCCCAATGCCGATGCATTGGGAGGGGTCATGCTTGAGGGACAACATTGTTGGGTAAAGTCCTCCTGCTTGGGGATCAGGATAGATCAGGGAACAAAAATTGAGCAAGTGCTGCCCTCCAACAGGACTGTGTTTACATTTGTGAAGTCTCTCTAGTATCAAGTAGAACATTTATTTGTGGACATCTGGGGATGGAACTATAGCAACACCAAGGCATTTGCTGTCAAGACTGAAGCATACCAGCAGACTTTCCGTTCCAGATGTCTGATCAAACACAAGTGTATTTCCCTTTCCAAGATCACCTGAAAATGAATGCAAAAGAAATATTTAAAAATTCTAAGGAGAACAAAGACATCTCAGATGGAAGCTCAAGTCGGAGGAATCAGAATCAGTGTGCTTTTTTTGTTGGAATAGACAAGCAAACCAACAGCACTGTCCAGAAGCCTTGCAGATCTCAGTGCTTAACTTGGCAGTTTGTTTCTTGCTCATCTGTCTGCCCACTGTGAGTTGGCACGAGGCTCCACATATTGTGGTCACTCATAGACCTTGGCTGGCAGAGACCGGATCTATTCACCTGATGGCCATGATCATCATGGCAGAAGACACGAAATGTGGAAAACCAGGCCCAGAAGCCATTAAAGCTCTTATATGGAAGTGACATGCCAATTTCACTCACATATGACTGTTCAAAGTCACAGGGCCACAGGGGTCTAAGGGGATGGGAAATGTATTCCTACCATGTTTCCAGAGAGAAGCCTATAAGTATTTAGTGACTAGCATTGTGACACAGTACCTGAAGCAGACTTCTTTGCCTTACGATATTTTGGTCACCAACATGTAATGTAGCTTCCCGTCCTCCAGCTGAAAGCCAATCCTGACATTCGGCAAACTTCACCCATCTACATGGACAACCTATTGCTGGGATTTTTCTGGAAAGAGAGTCTGCAACACAGATGGGAAATACCAAGATAAACAAAAAATGACCCCTGACGAAAGACAGGATATGTTAAATAATAGAGGTTCAAAAATCTCTCATAACTTTGTAAAATTAATCATTTTATTGGAAAGATTTAAGATGCTAGTGTAACCGTAAAATAAGAACCAGATGCCATGAGAAGAAGCAATCTGAACAAAAAGGAGATTTCAAAAATTCTAAATGTGACCATCAGATTAAAACGATGCAATAAAAGGTACCATAAACAACAAACAATAAATGATAGACTGGGAAGAAATGTTTGCAATATGTCTAATAAAAAGTTGAGTCCAAAATATATCAACTACATATTGAAATAAAATTTTAAACTTCCTGCTTGTCAATTAAGTAACAAAACTATGGTAAAAGTGGGCAAAGGTAATGAACAAGGCCATTAGAGAAAAAGCAAATGGTCAAGAAGTATATCAGGTGCTGAGCCTTATTGGTGACTGGGAAAATGCAAAGTAAATAGGTGTCACAGAATTTGCCTATTGGATAGCAGATATTAAGAGGATCGATGATTTCAAGTATTTAAAAGTCATGAATAAACATGTACTTTCATATAATATTGGTTGGCTTATATATTCACAAAGCCATTGAAGGTCAATACATTTAATATTTAAACTTCATGTATGTTAAAATCAGTGATTCTCACAGTGGCTAACCTGGAAAAACATATATAAAGTATATCTAACCCGCACTCATATACACACCTATACACACATATGTACACACATATACATACATACATACATATATGTGCATATATGTGTATAATGTGTGCATGTACAAGAAGACATGTTCAAAGTTGTTTATTGCAATATTCTCTTTAAATTTGGGGCATTTTAAGAAAGTATAAATCATATACCATAAAATTGACCCCTTTGAAGTGTACAGTTCAGTGTGTTTTAGTACAAAATCTGCAACCATCATCATAAGCATGCTCATTAGAGGCCATTCCTTATTTCCCTCTTACTTTAGTACTAAGCAACTAATTTCTGTGTCAATATTTTTCCTATTCTGGACATTTCATATAAATAGAACCATAAAGATATGTGGTGAACCTCTAGGATTAGCTTCTTTAATTCTGCATAATATTTTCAAGATTCATCCATGTTGTAGCATATATCAGCATTTCATTCTTTATATTACCAAATACTATTCCATTATTTGGATAACCACATTTTATGATACATTTATCAGTTGCTGGACATTTGAGTTTCCACATTTGGGGCTTTTATGAATAATGCTGTTTAAACTTTTGTGTATAAGATGTTATGTGAGCATATGTTTTCATTTCCCTTGTGTATATAGGCCTAGGAGTGGAATCAGAGGGTCGTATAGTAATTCTGTGGGTTTTTTTGTTTGTTTGTTTGTTTGAGAAAATGCCAAATTCTTCCAAAGTGCTGCACCACTTTACATT